TGCGGTGTGGCTCACCACTGTCACTGTGCCGCCCATCATTGCTGTTACAGGTACCTGCTTTTACAGACTTCTCCCCCCCACAGCCGTCTCCACTGACGTCCACTCCCCAGTTCCTTTAGTGCACTACAGTAGTAACCATACATGAGTAATTTGGCATATTTGCTATACTCTGCTGCCAATCCCAGTGAGTGTTTATACTAATAGAGTGTGTTAGGAACAACTTGATAAATGAATGAAATATCATGTTGAAGTAAACAGTAATGATGAATGGGCAAAACATGATCTCCATGGAACAGGAGTGTTAATTCTTCAGCGTTAGCGTTTGAGGGGCGATACAATGAAGTCAACAACAACAGGGAAAAAAAAGACCTGTTTTCAATTTAGAGTTGGTACATAGTGCTGGCTCCATAACGAGCACGCTGTCATTGGGATAAATATTCAAAATAAATGTTGTCTTTGTTCCACAGATGAGCCACGTTCGGGTGAGAATTACCCCAGCCAAACAGAGATGGCTCTCATCTACCAATCGGCCGCCTGGATCCTGGCAGGTCTCCTCTTAGCCATCGTGATCTTTCTCATCGTGGCACTACTCATCAATAAGAAGAAGAAGTGGGTGCAGATGTCTTGCTACAGTGCGCCAAAGAAGGTGAGAAGTCTCTTGCTGAGGTCGTCACGACTTTAGGATTCTTTCAAATGAAACACGATCAGGTCGTTCATAAAGTCTCTACCATGAAATGTGACTGTGGTAGCTGATTCTACACTGCAAGAAATGAAAACATCAGAACTCAATGGTAAAAAAACCATGTTGATATTTGCACTAATATGGACTGGCTAACGTGTTGGGAACAAAAGGATGCCACATTGTTTGGTGGAAATGAAAATTAACAATCTACACTGAGATGAATTCAAAGACACCCAGAAGAAATGATACACCAGGCTAGTCCCCTTTGATGAAATCTCACTGCAGCAACTCCACCAGTTGTGGGACTTGCCAATTCTGGTATTCTATGGCAAGTGCCAGTCAAGGTCGACGCTGTTGGGCAGTGATCCTACTAGAGGATGTCAGACCTGCAAGCCACTCTCATGAAGTCTGTTTCTGATTGTTTAGCCAGAGACCTTCACACCAGTGGTCTGCTGGAGGTCATTTTGTAGCTCTGGCAGTGCTCGTCCCGTTCCTCCTTGCACAAAGGAGCAGATACCGGTCGTGCTAGTGGGTTGAAGGCCTTCTATGGCCTTATCCAGCTCTCCTAGAGTAACTGTCTGTCTCTGAAGCTCTTCCATGTTCTTGAGACTGTGCTGGGAGACACAGCAAACCTTCTGGCAATGGCAAGTACTGCTGTCCCATCCTGGAGGAGTTGGAGTACCTGTGCAACCTCTGTAGGGTTCAGGTATCTCCTGCCAGTAGAGACACTGACTCAGCCAAAGTGCAAAACAGGTGAAAGAAAAAGAAAAAGAAAAGTTGAGGAGGGAAAATGTCGGTGGCATCCAGCCTGTTTGGGGACACTACAGTGCACCTGTTGTGAATTTCATTAACACCAAAGCAGCTGAAAGCAATTAACAACCCCCTCTGCTACATAACTGACCAGATCAATGTCACAGAAGTTGAACTGAGTGTTCCTTTCATTTTTTTTCTTTTTAGCAGTGTATTATTTTTAGTGTAAACAGGTGCAACATGGCAACCTGTCACTGCTTATTAGCTATGATCTGAACTACAGCAATAATCTACCAACCAATGATTTTGGTCCTTTTGCACCACAGACAGTGATCCTGAAGAAGCACGTCAACAAGAATTCAGTGGTCTACATGGAGCCTTCGAAAGACAACAAATTTCACAACGTGAAGAACGACTGCGGCATCATTCACTTCTCTCCAGAAATGAGCTCCCCCTGTACGGAAAAGTTGACCATCCCCAGGGCCAAACTGAGCATGGGCAATGACTGGACGCCATGCTAAAAAACAAACAAACAAAAAAACACCCCTCAGACTCTGCAGATCAGAGCTGTCTAGCACATCCCTCTCGTTTCTGTTGCATCCAAGGTGGTAACAGCACACACACCTTGGGCGCTGCCTTCTTCCCACCATTCTCTGTGTGACAGTAAAAACAAGGATGCTCTTCAAGACTAAGCAAGTTACCACTGACTCTTACATTTTATGCCCTCGTTCTTCTGTATTTGAACGCTCGGGTGAAGGGACTTTCTGTGAGGTAGATGGACGGGTGGACATATAAAAGCATGGAAGAATGCGGCAACCAGACAGATTTCTCTGTGAAAACCAGACTGTGACTGTGAACACTGTAATATACCTGCTTATTATTGCCTCCTTTGGAACTGGAACTTTGGGGCAATAAGAGGAGCATAAAAAGCTTTAGGACAGGGGTTTGGGCAGTAGTTTAAAGGGAGCATAGGTGCTGCCCTCTTAAGCAGTGCTTCATTGTGGTTGTAATCATTGTCATTAGCAGGGAGGCCAAAGGAACTTTTAATCCAGCTGGATCGAAAATTGGTTTCTGCATCCAAATCAAAACAAGTCCGTAGGCTTCATATTGACCTCCAGATCCAAACCCCTGCTTTTCAATGTGTGATTTCCATGTTTTTTTTTAAACTTCTAAAGCCTTTTTACTAGATATTGTGTTTTCCTTGCACACTCTTTGCTTTTAGAGTGGGTGTCTATGTGGGGCCAGAGTGGAACATTTTAAAAATAGTAGTCGAAACACCCACCTGCCAAAATCAATGACAGGAAGGACACATATCCCAGCATTATTTCTTTCATTCCAGTCAAGTCTAATAACAAACTGCTTTTATGCAAAAATGTAAACACCCGGTTTGGGGATTGTGTGAAATGTGTCTAGACTTGTCTTCGTTATATTAGCCAAGAGTCATAATCTTCGGACCCAGCCTCATCTGATTTTGGCTCTTTCCACGGGAAGCTGCCACTCCAACTCCCAGATCTCAGAGTGATCTTCATCCAGCTAGAATGTTATTTTATTGATAGCAGGTGAGACAAAAGGGTGCCAGACACTTCATCTGGGCCTGTAAGGAATGTCTTTGATACCATGCCTCACTTCACATCTTCATTCACAGCTGTGTGTGTTTGTGTGTGTGTGTAGGGAGCTACTGTTCTTACTTGCAAGTGATTGTTAGTAGTAATTCTTTTAAAAGCCTTAATTTTATAGCCTTAACTAATTTCTCTGTTGATGTCTTGCAGTTGGTTAACAACCATAAGCCCGTATCAGGAAAAAAAGAAAAATCCCTCATTGTTACTGAGATCGAGATCGTGTTGTGCCGTTCTCATTAGCTCTTCAAATAAGAGAAAATTACGTGATTTGTAAGAGTAGCTTGCTAGCATCTGTACACAGTGGTACATGTTGCAACATCAGAGCATATTAGAAACGTAGCACTTTTCTTTAGAGCCAGTGTTTTAGAAAGCCCACTGCGGGATTCTTGGTGGGATAAAGGCCCTAATCAGGGATTTGATAGGCGTATTAAGGACACAGAGATGTTAAACCACTCAAGCGAACATGCTGTTGCAGCTAGATTCTCCATATCAGTCTGATCGGTATGTGGTCGGACAGTATCTGAGAAGCGTTATGAAATATTTTGGGGTTTCAAAGCAACGTGTTTCGGAGTCCATTGCCAATATCTCGATACAAAGATATATTTGATGCCAAAATTGGTCGGAGACCAATTCATAATGTGTTTTAGCAACTGAGTAGATCTGTGTATCTGTTTTAATCAAGAGTATGTGCTTTAAAATGAAGCGGTGACTGTAAAAGCTTACGCAAGTCTTTGTTCTTCTACGTGTAAAAAAACAAAGTAGTTTAAAAAAAGTAGAGAAGAGTACCTTATTTATTTTTTCACATAGCTTTATTTATTAATACTTAACTCTAGTTTGAGATTTTTTTGGAAAATGAATTTTTAGTAGCCAAAGCTGCTGTACATTGTAGACCATTTACCGTTTCTTTCTACTATATTCTGTACAAGCTTATTTATTTCTGTGTTCAAAATCCTGTAAATATGTTTCTTAGGTGATGAACTGTAACATTTACACTTATTTTGAAAAATAAATGTGTGAACCAAAGTGGCACTGAGAAAAAATTAAACTGCGCTGGAGCAACAATTCTCCAAGGTGCAGTGATGTCGTCCGTTAAGTGGTTTCTGCTTCTCTTGCAGGCACGTTTACATCCGCTCCTGGACTTTAAATTGAGTCTTTGGTACGGGTGGATCACAAGCACAAAGCAAAAAGACCCGGGATAATAAAACACCAGAAAACACAAAGACATGCAGGCCAGACCAGAAACTGTTGTTTTGACTCGTCTGATAGAGCTTGCTGATAAACTGCAAGGTGCTGAAGCTTCTCCAGAAAGATTACTTGGAGGAAAAGTCGGAGTCCCGCGCCAAAAATATGTCAAACAATGCATCTAACAAGTTGTGTTACTTCACTTAATGTTTTGAGCATTACAAAAATATCTAATCTCTTAGGCATTTTAGTGAGGGTTAGAAATGCAGTCCTGTGCAAAAGCCTTGTGCTATGTGGAAAGGGTTTGATTGGCAATGTATTCTTGTGGCAAAAAAATCAAAATCCTAAAAAGTGCCAGTGCAGGAAAACCACACGTGGGTAGGCCTCCCCAGAGCCTGGACCTCAACGTTATTGAAGCAGCGTGGGATCATCTTGATAAAAAGAGAAGGTAGTCAACACTTAAAGAAGAGCTTTGAATGTCCTTCAAGGAGCCTGGAGAACTGTTCCTGTAGACTTGAAGAAATTACAAGAAAGCTGTGCTGAAGAAAAAAAGGCGTCACGTCAAATATTGTCTTTCAACCTTATTGTGTTTTTGCCTTGGATACTGCATTGACTTGCATATTTCCCTCCATTTTTAAATGAAGCCACATAACTGGGATGTGGCTCAAGAGTTCTGCACAGTATTATACATTTCAAATAATTTTTCATCAGCATCCTTTGGCGTTAGATTCCCATCGGGTTGAAATAAACACACACAGGTCACAGCATGTGGGGAAAAATATTTATTCACACTTTGCATCCTGTACCTAAGAAGAAATGTATCTGTACTCACGACACATTCAGTAAAAAGCCCTTTCTCTTAAATTCTATAGTTCTATTAAGGCAATAAAGTCCAGTGAACCTCTTGTCAACCGTTGTTGAGGACCACGAAACACTGAAGGGTTTTGGGAACGTTGGGAGAGATTGGATCAGATAGCTGGTTTACCATTCACCACAGTAATGAAGTTCATTTGTATCTTTGGGACTCACACCTTCCAAATGGAAAGCGTCAATGTTCTAAGCAGATTTTGTTGGTCCAAGGATAAAAACTGTCTCTGGGAGTCTGCTGCCTGAAGCAAAGTGGAATATCTCCCAGCCAAGTGCAATCCCTTGGCTTTCACAGAAGAATCTTGTAGTAGTCGTCTTTATAGCTGTACAAGATCATCATAGCCACCCTGTAACAGAAGATTTGTTTGCAGATTTCAAAAAACATTAACAGAAGTATGCTTCAGCTAAGTATCCAACCAACCAAACATGAACTATGCTCCCAGGCTTCCATGCCTTCTGGTCCCAGGTTATGGTGTTCAATAACGGCCTTTGACCTTTTCTGGATGAAATCCCATAAACATTTTGTGAAATGTTGTCAGAATTGGCATCTGAATTCGACAGTTATGGTCAAAAACAGTCCTCGACCATCGAATTCAGGTCACCTGTTAGTCACTGTGACTGTTTGTACCAAATTTTAAGCAATTCCCATAAGGACATAGGGTCACTGGAAACTTGACCTTTGACCATTAAATTCTAATCAGCACATCCTTTAACGTACATGTTAGTATGTAATTTTAAGTAATTCCCTTAAGGCCTACAGGTAGCATGGACATCGTCACTCTTGACCACGGCTGTTTTGGGTTTGGAAGAAATTTGAACTGGAATGTCTCCAAATCCAGACAACGTGATTCACCCAGGATGTTTTCTAGAAACGTCCAAATTTATCCCACTCCTTTGAATTCATCAGTGCACTCCATACAGACTCAAATTACCTGTACTGTAAAGCCACTAGAGGGCGACTGTGATGTTTTATGTGGCCCTCAGGTTGACATCCACTGATGTGCATGCTTCCTCTATGTCAAATCTTTCATTGATACAAGGCTTATCAGACCAGGAACAAGACTGAGACTGTCCTACTAGGAAACGAAGACACGCAGTGTTAAGGTGAGAGGGCTACATCACTAATTCTCAGTTCCCCGACTGGCTTCCAGTAAAATCTAGAATTGAATTGAAAGTATTACTTATAGTTTTCAAGTTAATAAATGGTTTGGGGCTATAACATATGTAAGAGAAGCCTGATAAAGTCTTCTTCTAGATCTGGTCAACTCCAGATCCTCCAAAAGTATTTAGAGTGACTGTGGCTTTAAAAGAAATGAAGCTGCCATTCAGCTCGCTCTTGGGATAACACTACCAAAAGATCGACTCAGCTTTGAGATGAGAGAATGGCCTCAAAAACCTGAGTCGAACTTGACACAAGCTATCACAAGGACTAAAGACAGACCCATAATGATGAAGTTCAGTGCATCTATTTGGTTTATCGAAATATACCTGAAGCAGACTCAGCTGCGCTTTGTGTTTAACAATAATTAGCCGATGTTGGCATTTTAAAAGCCTCAGATGGGGAACAGGGTAAAAATACACAGTGGTGGGAAAAAGCTTTGTTTGATCTCCATCTAACTCACAAACATATACAAACACAACGAGACTAAACTAGTAAACTGTAAGTAGATGAATGTCTCATGTTGCTTAAAGTGCTGATTAAAAAAAAGTAAGTGAGCGTCTAACCTCAAGATTTCTCTGGATTCAGTTGAATAAAGAAGGAATAACTAATAATAAGGTGTAACTTCAGGTCCTGCTACAGCTACGTAGCTGCTGCATGAGCCCTTCATCCTACTCATCTTGACTCGGTTGCATGTGCCCCACATTCAATGAAAACCACTAGACAAAAGAATAAAAACACATGCCGACTCCATCCATTGCTGCCTCTGCGACGCTCATTTATCAGGAAAGCCTTTTCCCCCCTTAATGGCGACTCACACAGCACAGACAGGAAATTAAAACCAACTGTTCTGGAGAGACGAAGAGGAAGCCAGAATGAGAGGTTTTGATTTTTCTTGCTGCCATCTCATTCATGAAAGAGAAAATCTGCTGGATCCCATCACAGGCTTTGGGCACTCACAACACTAGAAGCTCAAACACAGGATTTACCCTGGAACTTGGGCGGGACATTACGTTTGGGAGTATGGGAATTTAAACTTTTCCATCTACACTAGAGAAATGGATGGAGCTGACTCGCCCCTTGTCAGTCTATTGGGGTGCCAAGAGCCAGACGTAAGACCAAATATAGCAAATCCTTCTCCAAATTCTATGTCAGGAAATGGGATCAGCTGAGGATTTAACGTTCTTCTAGGCGGTAGTTATCTGTCTGAAGACTCCTTTTGTTGTACTGGCAGGCACTGCTACACCTGGAGTGTGTGGGCTTGGTTGAAGTATTGCAAAGCAGCTTCCTGAAAACGTGTTTCACTGTCTGCATCAGGTTTCAGTTAAGAAAAATGGCTGGACTAAAAATAACTAGCAAGAGGTTTTAGTTAGGAGAGACTTTAAAAAACTCAGAGAGCTACTGAGTAAAGCCTGGATTATGCTCCTGTGAGGGCACGGACACATGGAGACCTGACGGCAGAAAACTTATTCAGGTTATACTTCTTTGAAGTTCGCTGCCTGGGGCACATACGCAGGATGGTGCATTGTACTATAAATTTTCAACAGACAAAAGAAGGGAAAGCACACTCATGCTAACCGTGCGATGATCAAATTTAAGTCACTCGCACCATGGTGGACTAGAAGAGGCCCAAATACAGTGCCGACTTAAGGAAGTGAAACAAATGTCTATTATTCATGAATTATATCAACAAAACCAGAGAAGCGATGTCGATGACTGCCAACCTTTGAGTCTACAATGTATGGGCATCCAGTACTGCCACCAGAGTGGATGCAGCTTAATGTCAAAAGGTTTTAAATCCCAGTTTATATCACATGTGATATAAACTGGGATTTGTTAACACGATGCGGCACGGAAAAAAGTGATCTGTGAACTGGCCTCTGTATGTCTACGTAGACTGTATATAAAGGATGGACATGGCCAAAGACTTCACCGCGTAAGCTCCGACTGTCAAGTCTTGAGCTGAGTCACATCTCAGCGTTTTAAAACCAGACGTAACAAGTAATGGGCTGGATCTGGCAAACCAGGGAACACTGCGTGCTCATATGGTGGCAATAAAACTAAATACAGCATTCGATAAAACCTAAAACATGAGAACGTAACCTCATGAGGAAAGTGTGTTAACTCAGGCCACACAGGAGGAACTGAAGGATCATTTCCCTACAATGAACAAACACAGGAGCCAAACCCTGTCAGCAGGGCTGCTTCCATCTTTTATATACAGTCTAGACTTAAGAATCACAAATAAAGGATTTTGTAGTGTTTCTGATCAATTCAATGTTACATTATATTGATCAAATGTGCTTTTCTTTAAACAACAAGCACATTTCAAAGTGAGTCTGAGCAAGAGTTTAGCAAGCTGTGAATGCTAACACACTGAACCAATATGATGCACAATTTAACACCACTGCACCTTTTTGTAATCTTGAAGTGGTGGATCTCATCACAGATGGCCTTCAGGTAGCGCTGCTTGGGCAGACGAGACAGCAACGTCTTCACGCTGTTGTTGAACTGCTCTTCGCTATCAAACTGGACGGAAAGGAAAAAAAATGTTTCATTCAAGCAAACAAAACCATCAACAGATGAGATTTAACATCCGAAGCTTTAAACAAAGACCAGCCAAATGGCTCACAGGCCTCATGTTTGTTAACAGACTTCAGAGTCAAAAAACAGACAGCATATCAGAGGAATCAAAGGCTTTATTTTTCCTCTTTCCCCATCTTCAGTGTTGAAGAACATACCTGCTTGTCAGGTGTTTGGTTTCTTGTGTGCCTTGAGGCAATTTCGCCTGTTTAAAACAGGCCCTTTCTGCCAGCGTGGCTGTTACATACTATGCATTGTTTTATAACTTTTATAAACTCAATGCGCTGTCAGTGACACATGTGTGCTGCAAAAGGACAACTACATAGGTGGCCCGTTCATTTATGAAGTGGAGTCTTTAGCTTATATAACTACAGTGTTCAGAGCATTTTCCAGCTTTCTTCACAATATAATTAGTCGTGTTTTTCACTTTCCTTAAAGGGAAGCTGGGATTTTATAGCAAGGTCTTGGTAAGAAGTTTGGAATGTGAATATTAGCACCTCCTCAGAGTGCGTTTTGGTACGTCTGTCACATGTGTGAGCCTCGTACAAGCCCTGCCAAGTTCGAGTCTCACAGGTCTCCCCTGCTTTGGAAAACTGTAGCGTTCCTCATCAGAGTGTAAGGAAGGCAACGGGATCCTGTCTTCCTGTCTAGGAACTTGACCTTATTGGCCGTTCTTCCCACTCCCCCCTCCCTTTCAGTGCGATGTTGCCTTTTATTAACTCGGCCGTGCTCTATAGTAGGGAACCAACCTCCAGAGACAGGAAGTTGATCAGCGTTTCCTTCGGAAGGTCCACCTGCGGGATACAAAAGCAAGTACGGTTACACAATAAAGCCTTGCCTCACAGTCGAAAAATTCTACACCACAGCTTTTTACACATTTTTAAGCAATTTTGTAGCAAAATACAGAACTGTTGCACATTTCGTCCAGAACGTTATGTAATTCCCTTCCCCCAACATCAGCAGTCCAGTCAGCACTAACATCATAAAATTACATTTTAGCAGAAATGAAAGCACCCCAGTTTCTATTTTACAGCAGCAGGCTAATCACTCTCCAGGTTCATCTGTAGCATCAGCTTTGCATATCAGTCTGAGTGACAGAAAGCAGGCTGCTGACACGCAACACCCGAGACTCACAGGCCTGTGTAACTGCTTACTGGCATCGAGATGATTGCACTTGTTACGTTTCAGTGACACTGCAGTGTTTATAGAGTCCAGATTCCAACAAGGATGATAAATACGTTTGGACCATGCAGCGAGATGGTAAATAAGACAAGAGGGGTGAGTGCACTTTGAGAACGTGGCCACAAATGGACAGCGCAACTGGAAACAAACGCCAGCGACCATTTATGTCCCCTAGAAATGCCGCGTTAGCTGCTTTCTGTTTAGCGTTTGTTGTTCGATAGGCAACTGGAATTTATTCGCAGTGATCTTACTTCCAGCAGGGGATCTAAAAAGCAGCTATAAAAGGGCAGATCCTTAGATGTTTGTTGTTTTAGCTATCAAAACTATTTCCTTCCCCTACGATTTCACACATGAATTCAACAGATAAGGTGGGAGGGGGGGGCAAGTAGGTTAGAAATAGGGGATGGAGGGACATAAACACACAAATGACTTACAGCAAGAACCTCAATGTCATTGCTCTTGTTCTGCAAATTGCTACCCAGGTTCTGTAATCTGGTTTGGATCTGAAATGAGAGGAGATGGAGAGAGACCCGTTTAAAAATGACATGGCTACAAATAGAAATCATCTTCACAAGCGAAAACTTGTCTTGGTGTCACGTTACAAACAGCATATTCTTAAGGATAACCACAGGAACGTCTAAGGCAGATGGATACAAGAAACAGCAGCAAATTTCCTGGAAACCCATTTTAGAGGTTTGAAGTTACTAATACTGAGAAACGCAGCTCTGGAGAAATGCCGGAGACGCGGTTACAAAGATCGCAAACCTGAGTCTCGTAGCGCCGTCTGGCGCTGGCAGAAACTTTCTCCGGGCTGATGAGGCTCACATTCATGTTTATGGAGGTGCTGCTTCCATGCTGCTCTGAAGACCCTGGAATCAGAGGACAGTAAACGGGACAAATGAATCGTTTTATCCGACTGTAAATGTTTTTAAATGTCCAAAATCGAGTATTTAATCGCACACATACAAAAAAAAGCTCTGGTTTCAACTGCTGTTCAGTTTAATTAGAACGTGTTTGTGCCAGAAGGGTGAATCTTAATAACTGAGCTCTGATGCACAATTTCACACTTTGTGTAAATCAGGGAAATAGCAAAAAGGAAATCCAACATCATAAGAAATACTTTGAAATTATGTCTAAATTACACGTTTTTACCACAGGAAAGCGATTTGTTAGAGTCAAATCAGTGTGTGAAACACGAGTGTGATGCTTTCATGCCGTGTGATGTTACAGCCTATGAGAGGATCATCAGAATAAGCTGAGCGTGGTACCTGTGCTGGTGAGCAGTGATCCTTTGGGGTTCTGTAGAGTCGTGCTTTCAGAGATTTCTCTGCTGAGGAACAAGGAAGACATTTTTTGACCCCTTCTGCATCCTTCACACACATCTGAGCGACTCGTTAAACCAAAACCTTTTTATTACCTGATGTTTCTCTCATCGAGGAATTTGTACCGACATTTCTGAATGACGTGATCCACCAAGTCAGACTCAAGAATCCGTTTCTCCAACTGTCTGTCTTTCTCAAAGCATTTTACCTGGAGGACAGAAAAAGCGACACAATCTGCAGGTTTCTACAGCATTTCATTTCACTCAAATCCTGAGTGTGTTGCTGGGAAGTGGATGTGCTTGGATGGTGCACAGATGGTGCTTACCTTCACATAGGATCCCTCTTTGTCAGAGACGAGGGCCATGCATGTGATGCCGCCTAGCTTGCAGTGTTCCAGCAGTGTGTCCTGAGACTACAAACACACAGAAAGGCAATAATCATCATTCTCAACACACAAGCTGAAATTTAAATGCATAGCTAAGCTATACTCCATTAAACCTTTATGATGATAATGGTCAAACATAATCAAACACATATGTTGACCAATGAAGTAGCATGCTGAAGATGTTGGCTTGTTTGAGGCCAAATTCTCTGAGAACAAGCTTTTCTTTCATTAATTACTTAAGAATCACAAATTAGGCTTGGAAACATACAGCAATTACATAATTACAGCGTCACGGTTGCCAATTTCAACCCTGACTGATCTCGTTTCTGAAACAAAGGGAGAAAAGCATGCTTGAGTTACCGCTGAACACCAAGCTGAGGCTTTAAAATTCTCCTATTGTGGCACTGGTTCATTTGAGTTTCACTTAGAACTAGAAGAGTGATCATGAGCTTTGATGTACATCCAGGTGATCCATTCAACCGTAACAGTGAACATGTATGTTTGCGATTCGTGTCGGCCTAATTCATTCTGATTAACTTTAGTTTTGGCTAAACGAACTGTTGGCGGTGCGGAACAAAGCCCCAGCACCGCAAGCGTATGTTTATGCGCGTCACTTTTCCTTGTCATCACACGAGCGTTTACACTTCCATTTTTCTTACAACTTTCACACCGACAGATCAAATCATGTCAAAGGTAAGTTATTGGCTGGAGCCAGATGGGCAGCTCCACTACTTGGCTGCCTGCCTGCAGAAGGGGTTTGCCATATTTGTCTAATAAAAACTAAAAGAGTGGAACCGTCTCCAGAGGATGAATTAAGGGCTGTTAAGAGGCCGGCATGGGAACAGTGCTAACAAAAGCCTAGTGAGCGGCAATGACAGCCGAGCGGGTTTGGACGAGGTCTCCTCTGGTAAAAACCTGCGTGCTGTGCTCAAGTCTAAGCCACGTCTAACTCTTTATATTGGTGCAGTGATTAATTAAAGCATACATGGACATATAAAAAGGTAAAAACAGAGTTTGTACAATTCTGATGAGCTAGAAAGTTATAATATTTATTCATCGACACAGCCTGAACTCTCTTAGAAAAGTTTCTCATCATTTCTTTAAGTAGTCTTCAAAAATACTTCTCCAGGCTTCTTGAAGGACATTCAAAGCTCTTCTTTGAAAGTCAGCTGCCTTTTATTTCATTCTCTTTTAAGATGATCACACACTGCTTTAGTAATGTTGAGGTCCGGGTTCTGGGGAAGCCAATCCATGACTCAGTGTTCCTTTGTGTGTTTTTCTCTCCATGTATGCTTTTACTGCAGTGGGTTTGGGATAACTGTCATTATTGAAAAGCTGTTACCAATTAGATGCTTTCCAGATGGACCTGCAATAGTGGATCAAAATGTGACAGTACTGTTCTGCAAAATCCCCAAAATTCAGCCGCGAGCCATGACAGAGCCTCTGCTGTGCTTGCTGTTGTACCGCTCTCCTGATCTCCTCCATACAAGCACATGGCTTTGAGATACTGTTCATCTGCTGCAGAGAGATGCGGGGGCCCTAAAAACTATTGTCCCCCACTTGGTGAGTTTCCTCAAATCTGTGTTAAAGACACACTCGCACATGTCAAGTTTTCAGCTAACAGCTCTGAATGATTCACCTTTTTGGTAAAAAATGACTATTTAATGCCGGTTTTTCATAGATTTAGCTACAGAAAACAAAGAAATGATGCGTTTCTGTGACAGCGTCTAAAGATACAATTTCAAATTGGTTCTTTGCTAAATTACATGTTATGTGTGTAGACAACACCGGTTCATCCCTTTAGTTAGGCGTCTTTTTCTGCTTGAACGATTCATAGATCACTGCGAACACAGAAACGGGTAACACAGATCGACGTGGCTCAAAACTTCTACAAAAACACACTTGATAATTTGGCTTTCATCCAAACTCAACTTTTCCTAATTGCTTGTAAGAGAACAGAGGGGCCAATCGCTCGTGTCCTGTGCCGGTACATAAGACAATGAAAGCCGCTATAAAGCAAACACTCACTCACCACAGCAGTGGAAAGTTAAGACAACAATAGGTTATAAAGAGCAGAGCAGGAAAAAACAGGAGGGGCATTAAAATGTGGGCACACAGCTATGCCGGAGAGGCCGTTCATGCAAACGTGCACAAAGGGGACTGAGATCAGTTGGTCACATTATCGTGAAGAATGTGACGGAGCCGTGGCGTCGCGAAGTTTGGGACGGCTTCACTTCGAGGGGGTTGATGTCAGCTCGGCTATCATCCAATCACAGCTCTCAAACTGCTAACAAGATCTCATCAAAAGACTTTATAAGAAGTGTGTTTAACATATGTTGTCTTTGTTTGTAGAAATTGCCCCAGTATATTGCCCCAGTATATTGCCCCAGTATATTGCCCCAGTATATTGCCCCAGTAT